CATTTCCGTGTGTTCGCGCTACTGAATGACATGTCATGTATAGATCAGTGGTGCACGCAGCGCGCATATATGTTGCCTAGTAACGAACGCAATCTGGCGGAGATACGCGCTGGCGGCAGGAAACTTCACTTTGTTTGCCTGCACCTCGTATACAACGTTAGAAAGCTTTCAGCCAGGACAACTTGGTTGGCATTGCCTTTTCAGCGTGAGAAATACACAGTGTGGCGTGTGAGCGTGTGAACCGGTCGAAATGCGTGTGTCTCACGGCCAATGCGTGAGACTTGAGAACCCTGCAGCTATTTTCTCCCAAACTCTCTGTCCTTTGCCGCTGCAGCCGCGTTGCTTTTTTTTTTTTTTGAACATGTGTTCAAATTCTACATATTGCTTGCATAAGCACATCCAGTTCTGCTGGTGAGAAATGTGCAGACCTCTTTTTGTCTGACGCTGTTGCCATGGTGACTCGTAATATCTGCGCTCCGTTGATAATGGCTTTTTTATAGCTGTGGTGCACGCGCTTAACTCCGAGTCAGTCAACTCAGAGTTGATTGAACAAACTCATTTCAGCTGTTCTGTAACCGAAAACTCAGAGTTTCCCATCTCAGGGTAAGTCAACTCAGAGTTCAAGTTTTTTTTTTTTTTTTTAAACTCAGAGTAGGTTGAACCTCCTTATTGAAACGGGCCCCAGAGCTTGTTCAGTGGACAATTAGTCAATCTGTTACTAGTAATCTTCAATAATGTATATTTGGCGGCTCCTGCTGGAAATATAAATATCAACACATGATCGTGTCAGAAGCTGACAAACAGATCAAATTCTGCTGCTCTTATCATTTTTAAGGAGTTCCACTCTCGTCTATACATGTCATTAGATCCACGATCGAAAAAAAAAAACAACAACAAAAAAACAGCCCCAACCTGGAAGTAAGATTTTCGGCACAGAAATTCTCCATTCATCCAAAATATTTGTTTTAAACTTTGGCCATGTTTAGCATGAGAATCCATCTCTTTAACACTCTAAACAACTCTGAATGCATGAAACACCAAATCACGAATAGTTAAATCCTTAACATTTTGTATAATATGCTAAACATGGGGTAGTTTAAACAAAATAGTATCCACTGTGTTTATGACCCTGTCATTGTATTCTCTATTGAGTTCTCCATTGAGTTTTCATTCATAAAAATGACCATTCAAAAAATTAATAATAATATTCACATACTGTAGGTTGCTCACCAACACTACTACACCAAAGGCCAGTACGATATCACTGTCAGTCCAAATTCAATTATTTGTGTCTGGAATCTGATCTAAAATTATTGATGTCCACTCTGATTGATCCGATTTGTGTGTCCATGCAGCTCTTTCGTTTTCCAGAATATCCAGCCCATTCTCACCCCCAAGGCGTCACTTAACTGACGCCTTGGGAAGCATTTGGACATGCTTCAATATCTGACACTTTAGGCGCCCTTTAGCGTCAGTTAGATGACGCCCTAGGATCGCGTGTACCCTACCCCCACCCCACACCTAAACCTAACCGCGTCCTCTAACTGACGCTTTCCTTTAGCGTCAGTTAGATGACGCCGTAGGATCGCGTCATGTAAGTAACGCTAAAGGGCACCGAAAACGTCAAATATTGAAGCATGGTCAAAGGTGACGCCTTGGGGTGAGAATGCGTTGGAATATCTGTATAGGTTTCTATGGCAATGACGTTGTCAAAAACAACAACATGGAGGGGTGTACGATACAGATATTGCCTTGTTTAAATTTTACAACATGTCTATCAATGTGCAGGGTATCAAAATATGTCTCCGTTATGTTGTAATTTTCTGCTCGTCTGGCACTTTGAAAAACACAGCCAACACAAGATTTGTAAAAATTGCATTTCATGTGATTTCTGGCCTACTTTCACACTACTTAAATCTGATTGGATTTCAATCGGATATGCACAAAATCGGATTTGGACTGAGAGTCTGAACATAGCCAAAATTACTCAATGCACCCTTTTGTTGTGCAACTTAAAAGGTTTTACTTTTTGATAGTCCATTCGTTGTGACTCTATTGGTTATTAGTAGCCATTCAGTAGCTTGTCAACACACGGTGCATTAGTTGACGTTCAGAAACACTGTTTCAACAGACAGTAGTTCTTTCAACAGTACTACTTTCAACAGTAGTTCCTGAAAATTGGGTTCTGTTTTGGAGTGGACTTTGAGCTTTATAATCTTGCAGATATTTTTCATGGTCAAACAGCAATATTACACACCAACTAAAGTTGAAAAAGCCTAATAGAACCCAATAGGATTCAACAAATAAAGATGCAATTACATGAAGATTTCTCATAAATACCAGTGAATTACCTATCATGCAGGACCTACAGCACACCATGTAAAAAAAGTTAAAAAATACTGCAGAATTGCAGTGGTTATTTCCATGTTGGGCTCCAATGGACCTCAGTCTGAGTTTGGCCCATATCATAGCCTAAATATTTTGCTGCTAATCTGAATCCATGGCCACTTCTGTATGACTATCAACAGAGGAACAGACTAAGATGCAGACTCTACTAGCTGGGCTAACTGTTCATGCTAACAGGCCGAACCTTAATCCTTCAGGACTGAGAATTGATGTTTCAAGAGCTATTGATGATTTGGATAATTGTTTTGAACTATAACTTTAAAGGTAGAAGAGCATTCTTCTGATGCCATAAGCTAGTTTTAGAAGTCTAACAACACAGCTCCGTAATGAATGACAAAACAAACCATATAACTGTGGTGGGAAAGTGTCTTCTGTCCTGCCCTCTGCTGGACACAAAGGAGTGCTGTAAAAATGGGTTGAGGAGCAACTCTGCTTCGGATTCAGTACCTCTGAAAGCTTATGTTACGATCCAATACAGACATGGAAGCAACTCACATGAGACCAACCAGATGTCTTCAATGGAAGAGAACGTGCAGATCTTTGGTAGGTCTTGCTTTTTAGTTAGAATGCTGTATAACGTTCTTTCCGTGGTTCATAGGGAAATTCTTTGTCTCGTGTCAAAGGTGTAAATGAAAGTGTCATTCAATATGTTTATATATTGGGCCTATTAACAAATATATAGACATATTATATATATATATATATATATATATATATATACATATATATATATATACATATAAAAAAGATAAAATATAAGCATTGGCTTTAAAAGTCAAAATCAATAATATTGCCTAAAAAAATAAGGAAAAACATTTTGAATCATTTAAACAGCAATCAAATATAATTTTAATCCAGATTTAAATCCCAAACTTAATTGCCTAATTAGAAAAGAGACTTGCAGTAGTCTTCACTGAATTGTATATTTGTCTCATATCTCATTTACAAGACCAGCTGAATAAAGGCAAAGAAAGGTAAGACTTTTCTCTTATTATATATTTTTTTATTCTACGATATTCTTCATTCATGTTTACATGAAAAAGACATTGTTATAAAACAAATTCCCTAAAACTAGACTTGCTTTTAAAATCTATTAAGATCGTTTTCATATTATTTTCAAAATAAATAATGTTCTAAAGTGCTTATAATGCAATGATACATACTCAACATTCAAAACAAAGTGAAAAAACTATATGAATATATTTTCGCTCTAACATAATAATGTTTCTGTTTTCTGTCAAAATCACAGCTTGCATCCCTTTGCATTCCCATAGAACATGTAAAACCTAAAACAACATTTGTGATAACAATGCTGAGTCAATAATCTCTCATATTCCCTTAGAATTCAGGTATATTTCAATTATTATATTGGGCATATTCAAAAATCAGCATACCACTGTGAAAGCTTAAAAACCATGATGTTCCAGAGATGGAGCTTGTTAAAGCATTATTGTGTTTGTTTGTTTTTGGGGTTTTTTTGGAAAGAGGAGGTAAAGTGTGCTGGTCATAGAATGTTTACGTACACTGCTGAAATTCACACGATATGAAAACCATAACTAAAAGCTGTGTGCTGTTGAACTTACATTTATAATAGTCAAAAGCTCTGTTGTCATTATACACTCACCTAAAGGATTATTAGGAACACCTGTTCAATTTCTCATTAATGCAATTATCTAATCAACCAATCACATGGCAGTTGCTTCAATGCATTTAGGGGTTGTGGTCCTGGTCAAGACAATCTCCTGAACTCCAAACTGATTGTCAGAATGGGAAAGAAAATTGATTTAAGCAATTTTGAGCGTGGCATGGTTGCTGGTGAAAGACGGTCCAGTCTGAGTATTTTACAATCTGCTCAGTTACTGGGATTTTCACGCACAACCATTTCCAGGGTTTACAAAGAATGGTGTACAAAGGGAAAAACATCCAGTATGCGGGAGTCCTGTGGGCAAAAATGCCTTGTTGATGCTAGAGGTCAGAGGAGAATGGGCCGACTGATTCAAGCTGATAGAAGAGCAACTTTGACTGAAATAACCACTCGTTACAACCGGGGTATGCAGCAAAGCATTTGTAAAGCCACAACACGCACAACCTTGAGGCGGATGGGCTACAACAGCAGACCCCACCGTGTACCACTCGTCTCCACTACAAATAGGAAAAAGAGGCTACAATTTTCAATGCTCACCAAAATTGGACAGTTGAAGACTGGAAAAATGTTGCCTGGTCTGATGAGTCTCGATTTTTGTTGAGACATTCAGATGGTAGAGTCAGAATTTGGCGTAAACAGAATGAGAACATGGATCCATCATCCCTTGTTACCACTGTGCAGGCTGGTGGTGGTGGTGTAATGGTGTGGGGGATGTTTACTTCCAGCAGGATAACGCACCATGTCACGAAGCTTGAATCATTTCAAATTGGTTTCTTGAACACTACAATGAGTTGACTGTACTAAAATGTCCCCCACAGTCACCAGATCTCAACCCAATAGAGCATCTTTGGGATGTGGTGGAACAGGAGCTTCGTGCTCTGGATGTACATCCCACAAATCTCAAATCTCAACTGCAAGATGCTATCCTATAATATTCAGCACCTTGTTGAATCAATGCCATGTAGAATAAAGGCAGTTCTGAAGGCAAAAGGGGCTCAAACATAGTATTAGTATGGTGTTCCTCATAATCTTTTAGGTTTCATATACTCATATACATATATATACTTCATATACAGTTTATATATATATAGGACTTTGAACTGAACTTCCCAGTGCTTCAAAACAAGTGAACGGGCATATTCAAATCTTAGCATATGAACCTGGAATCTGACAAATCTTATTCCACCATCTCTTCATTTCAAATTCTGGGATAGGATCAATTTCATGTGACTGACAGATAGTTGTAGTTTAAGAATTTCCATTAGCTAACAACATGTTATTGTGGGACATATAGTGGACACATCAGTTTATGAAATACATCTCTATATAATATAATGTCCAGTAATCCTCATGGTTCCACAGCAGGCTTGGTCCCTCTAAAAGAGGAAACCGAAAAAAGGTGGTTAAATATCATTTTGTCACTTCCAGACACAAAAATAGCATACATTTAACGATTCTCTAGACTACAATATATTGACAATGGACTTACATTAACTCTCTGGTGAAGGCAAACAGGAGTTTCTGCGCGAACGGCACATATTTTTCTGTTAAGAAAACCAAGTCAATCTTAGAAGCTCAAAGAAATCCCTTAATTCAACAGAATAATGTGAGAATGAAATGCAGACTATACCTTCTCATGCAGGCGATGATGGACGGTTGCATCCGACAGCCATGGGTGCTTCAACGCTTCTGTTGCTCCTATCCTCCAACTACACAAACACACAGAAGGAACATCCATGGACATAAAGGCAAGGGTTCAGGTTCTAATCCATGAACTAATGCCATTATCTTATACTTGCCGACACTTGCTGTAAACTAGCCAAATGCAATCCAAAATGGGTCACAGGTTTGTTCTGAGATGATCGGAGGGAATAACGACGCATATAATAACGGATATATAATCATGCATAGTTAAGATGAAGTCACATGTAGCGGAATTTCAGGGGGTTTGCATGAAGGCCTAAAAAATTTTTTTTTTTTTTGCTCGTTTTCAAGTTGGTCATGCGAATTCGCCATGCGTATACGTAACGTACAAGAGACTGAACATGATTCAAGGCCCTGATAAACTCATGGTGAAATTATTTTTTGTTATTTGCTTAGAAGTTAAAATAAGTTGAAAATATCAGATATATAGCCTATTGTTAATGAATATCAAGATGCCGTCCACACTGCTGAGAGTTAGATGGTTAGATGTTAGATGAATATGTAAATAAGTGTTGCGCTCTTCCTCTCAATAAAAAAGTAATCACAACAAAAACGGCAGCAGTGAGAAAACAGCAGTTAAGAAAGCATCTGATCATAGAGATGTGTATATGTTTGCACCAGCTCTGCAATTCACTGGCATCATGTCGAGAGATGAGGTCATTCAAATTACACTGTAATGATAGTTACTTTAGAGATTATTAGGTATCTGAGACTTAGACTATATAGATCTTGCTGTGTGAGACAATAGTTAGAATTAATTAATCCCGTTTCTTTGCATGGCACATTGACATTACAGTACAGAATACTTCGTTTGACATTATCCGGAACATTGTATAAGCATTCATTTCATATGTCATTGAACGCGCAAATGTCACATCCTTTGGATTTTGCCCGTGAAACAGAGTCCTTCACATAATTCAGTCTACAGAGTTTCATAGACAACCCAGAAAGTCAGAGGAAAGGTCTAGTTTTTTAAGCTTTATTGCAAGCTGTTCACACATTGGCAATACAGCGATTAATACATGCAAATTGTTACACATGGGCCCTTTAATACACGTATGACTCTCTTGCATACCTTTTATCTACCACAAGGAGTTTGGAAATGAAATCCTTGGCTTCTGGCGAGACTTCTAAGAATTCTTCCTCCTCAAAGTTCCACTGGCAGGCCAAAATGTTATTTAGTGTCTCATTCTCATTGTCCCCAAGGAAGGGTGACAAACCACTGAGCCTATAAAACACAATTTATACACTGAGAACAAAAAAAGTGTAGGATTTTCTTTGAAGAAATTTACACTTATACACAAAAAATACATGGAAAATAACACATTGAATGAACCCACAAGAATTGTAGTATTTTATGGTAAAATGTACTTAAAAAATTAAGTGAATCATTTAAAAATAAAACGAAGTGATAATTTTAATTGAGCTAGGCCATTTTCAGAGTATACCTGCCAAAATATGCAACTTACAGCATGTATGTAATAACGCCCAGACTCCACATGTCTGTGTTGAATGACACGTAATCATAGTTGACCACCTCAGGCGAGAGAAACTCTGGCGTGCCGAAATTCACTCGTAACTTTTCCCTGGGCTGATACCTAAAGAGAATTAATGTTTCCAAATTTAAACGCACTCTACATTCTATCCATGATGTTGCACATATTTTTGTATTAAAGAGAAGAGTGCCATGACCATACTTACTTCCTCGCAAGTCCAAAGTCGATGATCTTGACTTTATTAGTTACTCTGCTGACACAAAGAATGTTTTCTGGCTGCCGGCCACAAGAAACAACATGGGTTATAAAGGTTACTGAGGATATTTGCTATAAAACTAAGAGGAATGTAGGCCTGTTCCCTCTTGGGAGGGCCATATTTTAAGATTGAAGTGTTTTTATTGTTGCATTGCTTTGGATCTGTGGTTGCACCTTTAGGTCCAGATGGAGGATGTACATTTTGTGCATGTAGCGCAAGCCTTCACAGATCTGTCTGATGAACATCACTGTGTCAAGCTCCATCAACTTGTAGTTCTCATCAATGATTCTGTCGAAGAGTTCTCCTCCATCAACACTGTTCAGGAGAAGGATCACCACAAAATTAGCTTTCCAATCCTTACTTCTTAAACAACAGCCACTGTGGCTAGTGGTTTTCCGAAGTTACTAGCCACTCAGCATTTTCACTGGCCATCGATACCATGGGGAAAAATGTCCATATATACGTTTAATATTATCTCAACAGGTATATTAGGCTGCTTATTATTTACAGTTATTATTGTCATTACTTCAAAAAATTCCCTCCAATAAAACAAATTTGAACAAGTTGTATATAAATTGTAATTTTTCCTTTTTTTCCCCCTTTTCTGTTTATCCCCACATGTTCATGTTCATTGTTCAGTATATACTGTTATACTGTTACCGTCCCCTTGGGGTCTGCCTTGGGGAATTCTGCAATGGGAAATGCCTTGTGCGTGACTGGTGTCTGCAGTGGAAATCTAAACAGGACAATGAACTTGATATTGCCAGGCGGCAGCCCATCACGTCACTACAGGTGAGGCCGAGAGAATAAAAAGGGCACATCTGCAATACGTCATCCACTTCTTGTCTATAAGAGACATGCAGGAATGGTGGAAGGATGGCAAAGGGACAAGGCATGGCGTCTTGTTCCCTATTCTCAAGGATCTATGGGGTTACATGTGTAAACCTGGATGTTCCCTTTCGACAGGTAACACGCGCTGCATCCCCTTGGGGGACTGAAGCAGCCCTGAAGAGTGGAAGAGGAGGCCCACAACACCCAATTCTCAGAAATCTTGCAAGGAGGCTCACAGAGGCCTACCACTCACAATGCTATCCTTGCAGAGCTCTGAAGAGCTGATGCCCCAGAAAACAACGTCTGGCCTAAAAATGCTCGCGGTAACCAAGGAGGTTACCGGGAAACAGGTAGACCTTACCTGTTCAGTTCGCACATTCAAACACAGTCTCTTGAGACAATAAGGAGATAACGTATTGCTCAGGTGCCCTTTTATAATCTCATATTTATATGTTATTTGTTAACACACTTTATATTTAGGCAAAATCCTAAAGTGCTACAATTTAAAAACAACCAACCAAAATGAAAATCAACCAAAAGGCTGTCATGTGGGCTGTCATGTCAAGTTCATTGTCATGTTTAGATTTCCATTTCAGACTCCGATCACGGCCAAGGCTTTCTACCTACCTATTGACAGGCTGCATTTTGTTTCAATTGCATGTAATAAGAACCAGCCATTAAGAATGCACCAATAAATAGTACATACTATTCAAGCACAAGGATAATGTCGTTCCTGGACTCATAGGCTGCGTAAAGCTGGATCAGGTTGGCATGGTCGAGCTGGTTCATAACCTGAATCTCATTCTTCACCACGTCCTATCAGATAAAGCACATGAAACTATTATTTTACAACTGAGCTCTATGTGGAAACCTTTACATTTGAATAAAAATGCTGATTGGTTCTTTTGTACCTTTTCTTTTTGACTCTTAGCTTTGATTATCTTGGCAGCCAAAGTAAGTCCAGAGGAATTTTCCATGCATCTATGCACCTGACCAAATCGACCTCTGGAAAGAGATACAAGCAGTAATCAATGACAATTAAGACAAGAAAAAATCCAAATTTTGATAATCACATTTATCCCTTGCTGCATGTGAGCGCAGATATAGACATCTGCAATGACATTCCCACATGTGTAAGTGTGGGTTAAGTGTCCAAATACTTTTTTGAGCCACTGTATATTCAAAACGACATTTTAAAAGACTTAGAGGTGCAGACCAGTAAAGACTTCAGGGACACTTTTGTAATGCAGAGGGTGTCATATTTTTCAGATACTATTCCATTAACAACAAGAAGAACATTCCCTTTGAAGAGATGGATTAACACCTAGTGATTAGTTTCCAGCTGGCGTGGAGGTACAATTTCACATACCCTGAATTCGCTATGCCAAAATAACTGGCTTGACTCTGAAGTTATGAATCGGGTGAGTGAAGACTGACTGCAATGTTACGCAATTAGCCTTTGAGGGGTTTAGCAGACTACACTGTCTGCATTTACACTGTCTATAAAACATTCTGTTCTGAGAAATTGGTTCCAACTTCAAGAAAATACTTCTACAGACCCTCCGAGAATCTCCTGTCGGTTGATAGTGTAGAAATTGTTAATCTGGTTGGGTTTGGCAGACACAACACGGTGTTTGAAGGGTGCTGGTGGAGGTGGGGTGCAATCTGCAGGACAGTAGAAGATGGAGAACAATGAATAGAAATGTCTGGAAAAGCATGGAGGTTAAACAGTTGAAATGCTATGTATATCACATATGCTATGTTTTTGAAAGCTGCTCCCCATCATGAGATGCTTAACTACTTTTCAAGACTTTCATGGTCAAACAGCGATACCTGATAATGTGGCCATTATTTGCGATTATTGGAGATTGACAGACATTTTGGGATGCCTTGTGACATTTTGAATGGCATCAGCCATTGAAAAAGCCACATTGGTCGACCAAAGATAGCTAGCTAGCATAAATCAGCCTTAAGCATCATACTGTTTAAATATTAGTATTTTCGGTAGAGATCTCACAATGAAGTTTTAAGGCAGGTTTACACTTTATGATTTTGCACATTTGTATGATTTGAGACACATTAATCCTTAAAGAATCCTCAGACCCTAGGCCAAAATCTGAAGTCTCTGCTCGCTAGTTTGACATGTTAGCCATCGTTGCGACATAGGGGGAATCATCTGACAAGCAACAGTTGTTAAGGGCTATTATAAATCGTACAGTTTGCACCAGGCTTTAAATAATCTAAATATGTTATGACCTTGTGTTTACATTATCAACTCCATACTGTTAATTGCAGGGCAATTTTAGCATCACTTTTTTTTCCGGTTTTAGTTCATGATAATGAACCCTGGTTATTGTTGTAGCAAACTGGTTAATAGGAAATGAATGGTTGATTATATGATTATAAGATTCCATTATTTTTGGTGGATTATGTGACTGTAAGAGATATATCCCATAATTTTTGATCAATTATGTAATGAACCACTGAGAATCTTACCGATGAAGAAGTGATCGTCATCTTCATCCTCATAGCTCTCTTTCTTTAGTTTGCTGAAATCCAACTTAAATTCCACACCATCAGCTTTGAAAACACCAAGGAGATCCTCGGGTTCCTGTGGCTTCTGTGGCTCTTGCTCACTCTGGCCTTGACCCTCATGAACCCTGCTCTTCTTGTGGTCCTCCAAACCCATATCTTCTTCTGTTACGCGTCGTTTGCTGCTGGTCGTCACCTCGTCCACCTGCTCAGACTCACTACTGAAACAACAGAATCAGAATAGAGGATGAAGACAAATGGTCTCATTCACCATAGCCATGCAGTTTGTGCCTGAATGAATGTTTTCACACAATAATCAGTCTTAAATTTTTTTTCAATCAAAGACTCCTGGTAGTCTTAGTAAGCTGTTATATGTTTACATATGTATAGTAACAAGTTATGTTTTTCAGAAATACTAATATAAATTGAATAAGTCACCTACACTTTCAGAGTGAGGTTGATCTGGGTTAGGTACTGCAAATACCAACATGACATCATGACTTTTGCGTAAACATATACGCCACTTTCGAGTCAGGTGGCGTGTTATCTCCACGCATTTTGTGCTATCCGCGTGTATGCGTGTATGTCTACGCCATTAACGTCCGCGTCATTCCGCGTGTCTGAACACGCAGTCAAATCTCCAGTCATAAATGCTATTAACCCCAGTGACGGTTAAGTTTAGGGATGGGGTTGAGGTAAGTCATATCTTTTTTTTACCTAGGATGGTAAGGGAACAGTCATAAATGCCATTAACCAGTGACGGTTAGGTTTAGGGACGGGGTTGAGGTAAGTCATATATTTATATAACGTTAAGTCAACGGCGTTCATAAACACGCTGAAAGGCGATTATGCGTCTTGATAGCACGCCAAAAATGGAAATACGAATTGGCATCCAATCTAGGGCTGTCAGTTTAACGCGTTATTAACGGCGTTAACGCAAACCCATTTTAATGCTACGTTCACACCGGACGCGAATAGCGCGTCAGGCGCGAATGATTTCAATGTTAAGTCAATGCAAAGACGCTTTATGCGCGTGAAAAATTCCTGCGGCGTGAATGAGGCGTGGAGCATGGCGCGGAAGACGCGAATGCCGCGAATTGAGCGTCTGGCGTGTTAAGCGCAAATGATTCAGTTAGTGCAATTTGTGCATTCACGCGTTTGACGCGAATTCACGTCTGCCGCCCGAGTTGAAAAATCTGAACTTTGGCGTGAATTCGTGCCGCGTTAACCAATCAGGAGCCTAGCTGCTTGCTCACGTGGTGAAGTGTCTGGATGCTTCAATAAATTATTTTGTTAATATGACTAAATGCCTGGTGGGATTATGCACAACAAAGTAAATAGTAATTATGTTGTAAAGACAATCAACATATCTGCATAAATTTGTGTCTGGACGTGAGAGAGAGAAAAAAAATCACAGGACAGGATAATAACTTTTGAAGGCTGGCTCTATTTATCATCAAAACAAAAATAAATGACAGCTAGATTAGATGGATGAGGGCGAGGGTGATCCTCGCTCCGATGCGGGACAACAGGTCATCATGATGGGCGCGTGACAGGCGGAAGTACCGCTGACAGCGGCCGTCATCCAGCGCAGCTCCTGGAGCGAGCAAATGGTGAAACTCGCCAAATGGTTCGGCTCCGAAGGGTCCGGTGGACACAAATATACGGCGACGATGATCCCCACGCCGCTGTTCTGCTCTCCAGAGTAAATACAGAGCGGTAACTCTCTTGATGAATGCTCGGTCGACATAAAAACAATGGCCGCCAAGGATTTCGATTCTGACGCTTTTTCGAAGTTTGACGCTTGACCACTTTTTGTTAATTCGCGTGTCAAGAGCGAAACTGGCGCGCGTAAATTTCGCTTCAAACTTTTGTTTTTACGCGTGCCAGTTTCGCTCTTGACACGCGAATTAACAAAAAGTGGTCAAGCGTCAAACTTGACGCGCGATTCGCGTCCGGTGTGAACGTAGCATAACGGCGTTAATTTTTTTATCCCGTGATTAACAGTCTTTTTGTCCTAGCGAACTTTGTAGTTTTTTCACATGCTTTTGCAACAGGACGCGGCATGCGTCCTGATCCATTTCAGCGTGTCTGCTTGTTTGCAATGCAAGGGTAAATAAAGAACTTATGTATGAGTAAGGACAGCATTTTCTTTAATTAAGAAACGAAACACTATGTCTATAAAGGCAATTGTTTTTTGTATATTTAAAGAGCGGAGAACAGTCTTAAGCCCTATTCGGACAGGATTAGTTTTACAAGGGTAGATGAAGTAATGTAATTTTTACCACAGAAAGTTTGTAATATTAATGGCCAATTCGCATGGGATAAGAAATCTTAGTAGAACTAGCAGAAGTGGGAGGGGTAACTCGATTTAAGCACCTCCGCCACGTCCCTGTTGTTATGTGCATATTACGTTGCTTCCTGATATCATGTGTGCAAACTAGGGGTGTAACGGTACACAAAAATCAAGGTTCGGTACGTACCTCGGTTTTAAAGTCACGGTTCGGTACGTTTTCGATACAGCAAAAAGAAAGAAATGCCAGAGAAATTTCCTATTTGTTTAAAGAAAAAATATTTTTAAATAAGTGTGAGTTTTCCTAGATCTTGAAACTTTCAGGTTTATAAATGGGGGTCATCTTTGAAGGGTGAACAAATAATGTTTTGGTCATCACATTAAAAATAACATTTAAATATATATTTATTTATATAATATTTGAATTTTGAAGTGCTGGTAAAAGATGTGTGAAGTACTTGAAAGCATTTCACCATTCCAGCCAAACTGGTTCCAGTTAGTGTTACTATGTTAAATCCATGGTGAATGTTGCTGGTCTGTGGACGTAAAGTTCATTCACGGCACAATGTTTCTCCTGGTTTCCATGACAGCGCTGTCTGATCTAATAGATCTGCGGTTAATAACGGAGAAATGTGAATGCATCTCACTAGATCTCGCAGCGATGTTATTACCCGAGTGGCGAATTCAAATGTTTTCTTTACCGGATCTCTTAGCGCTGTGTAGTAACAGTGTCGCTTGGTCGAGATCGGCTCGCGCTGCACAGATGTTGCTGGTCCGAACTGATAAACGATCCGTGAAGCACATTTATAGCGCAGTTTCGTTCTGCATTCATTACGCTTGCCATTTGATGTTGCGCAACGTTGTGTTGGCCGCGTCAGCACGAATTTTGCCGGCAGGAAAAATGGTCCAAGCAATCGTTCGGTTTGTATGCGTACCGAACCGGAAGCTTCGAACCGAAACGGTTCAATACGAATACATGTACCGTTACACCCCTAGTGCAAACACATAATCTCTATATATAACCTATATATAACAGTTTGGTCCAGTCGAATTATTTATTAATCGAATTAAATTCTGATCGGATTCTGTGGGTTAAAGGCACTTACCTAAAGCTAAAAGAAATTGTGTGCCTCTAACATGTGCTTTCGAACTTTTGATCTGACTGGTGGAAAGCCAAAGACTTGTCTCACCCCCTAGAATGCAACTGGATGCTTTTTCATGCGCCTCTACATTTCATGGGAAACTACTTTTAAACGACTGAATATTTACGAACATATTAACTGACATTGGACTAAAATCATTGAGGAGCTCTGGTAATAATTACTTTACACAACCTCTCCATGTTAAACTAAACCCGTCTGAATAGAGTAAAAATTAGCTGGTAAAAATCCTTGTAACTACATTTAAGCTTGATTTTCATAATATGTTATTATAATGACACATATAAATGTCTGACCATATAAGCCACAATACCAACTTTGACGATACGTTGTTTATGTAAAAAATACGAGGCTTCAGCCTGACTTAGTGACTCTTAGTAACCTAAATTAGTTGGCTTATCATCACCAACGTCATAGCTACTTATATGACCTTATTGTGTTCCTACCGGACTTAAGCTCAAGTTTCACCTTAATGGTGAGTACTGTTATATCCAGATTTAATATGCAATTTAAAGCAATGCATGTATGTGCAATTTTGTTATAAAAAAGACTGCGAAGCTGCTTATGAAGGCAGTAGGATTGAGGTTTGTAATTATTTAAACTATTGGAATAGCTACACATATTACTTAGACAGGATTTTCCACATACTTTTGGTCATGTGGTGTATGACATGGAAACCCCACCAGATTCACAGCTCACCTTTGGGCTGAGTTCTCAGTTGGTGTAGGCGGATCAGTTGATGTAGGTGGATCAGTTGGTGTAGGTGGCTCTGTGTCAGTAATGTCGGGTTCTGAAGGAACCTCAGTAGACGTCTGGTCCTCCGTACCCTCTTCCTCCTGATCTTTGAGTTTGTCAGTGGCCTTTACGGGCATCTCCTTAGTCTCTTCTTCTGCTAATTGTTGTGTTTCAATTTGGATCTCCTCTATCTTTGGCTCTGCGTCTTCTATCTCATCTTCTTTCAGGTCCTGAGTGACATCCTTCTCTTCTTCTGAGTTATTCTTTTGTTCAGGTTCAAGCATCTTGGCTTCTTCCAGGATAAGTTCTTGCGGAATGGGAGTATTTGAGCCATCCTCAGATTTCTGCACATCATTTTCCTGATGTCGGGATGCTTCAGAGCGATCTATATTCTCTTGATTTAGTTTCTGAACCTCTTCAAGCAACAGTGTCTGTTTCCTCAAAGAGATTGTATCAACTGCAATATGAACATAATAAAGAAAAAGAGAAAATTGAGTTAAATGTGTCACACTTTATTTGCATTTTGTTTTGTGCTGTATTTACCAGTTGAATCAGGTGGTTTCTTCTTCTTCTGTGCTTTGAGGCCTTTGAAGCTCAGATGAAATTTTCCATCTTTACCTTTGTGATCTTTTTGCTTTGGAGCAAAATGAAAATATTGCAAAGAAATAAGATGAGAAAATAAGTTTAAAGTGCAAAAGTATTTGTTTTTCTCGTCAACGAAATGGTAATGTGTACCGAATTTATGCAATTCTTCAGGGTCGCTAATAATTTGTGTAAAATGCATGGTTCATAAACCTACAAAATTAGTACATTTGAAGCAAATATTTTGATCCAAGATGCTTGAGGTTGTAAGTAGACTCAGAATGTTGGGAGCAGATTTTCGTGTCCCTTTAGAGCCTTTAGTAGAGGTAGTTTTCTGTCATAAACACAATATAAGTGGGATGGGTGGTTAGGAAGCAAGGTTAGTCTGAGATAGCCAAATGTTACATGAAAATAAACTGTTGGCTTCTCTTTGCGCAATAATGCAGGAAGCAACTATACAACTATGAATACAATAAAACAGCAGTAAATGAATAATAAAATGAATTTATGAAACAATCAATAAATATATTTTTCAAAATAATTACAAATGTGACAATTATGCACAACATTTCACTTTTACATGGCATAAAAGTGCGGGTTTCATTTGACTGTCATATGAAATACCAATAAGAAAGGCATAAATGCCATGGTTCCCCTAATGTGGCGCATATATATATATATATATATATATATATATATATATATATATATATATATATAATACCAACAGTGTGGGGTGGGGTTTCATCTAGTTGAAACTGTAGCCCAAGACACAAATCCAAATCCAGCTGACTTTATATATTTCCTTTTTCTAGGTAATATTCTCCTTTCCAACAATCCACATCATTAAGGCCAAATCAATCATGTGCTTCAAAATGGTGTAATGACCATGCAAGTGTCTTTCAAAATGGCACAATTCCTTCTATGTAATAAATGGAAATGTTTAAATCACGACATTAAATCATAATCATTTAATTATTTGATTAAATTGATGATATTTTATCCATGAAATGCCACTATTTCACCTCTTTGTACTGATTATACTCAGACAATCGAGCATCGTCCAATCTTCCATACTTGAGATTGAACTCACCTTGGTAAGGAGAGGCTCACTGTTATCTGACGCTTGGCATTTGGCGATCAGTTTGATTTTACTATCCTTGGACCTGAGTGCCGTTTTGCTTTTTCGAGAAGCTGGCCCTTTGAACATAATATCCATGATTTTGGAAGTTTTCACTGTTTCTCCAATAAAGCTGACAACCTGCTGAATGCTCGTCACCAGTCTCTCCATTCCCTCCAACTTTTGGGTTTGCTGTTCTGAGCGTTGATTTACTGCCAACATGATGCTGTTCATTTCTTGACACATTTCCTTCATCTCATTGGCTGGTCCTGTACGGATAACTGGAGAAACATGGATCTCCTCCTTTTCCACTTTTAGAGTTTCTACATCTTTCTCAATTCCATCAATGTCCTGAGACATGCCTTCGAGTCGGCTAAGCACTTTTTCCTGGATGCTTATGAGCCTGTCCATTTTGCTACTCAAGGACTCAATCCTGACCTGAAGCAGGTCAATACCTGTGCTAGAGTCAGCAGAACTCATGGTAGTACTAACAGCTCAACTAAAACCAGCAAAACTTCTGGCGAACCTAAAAGAGATTCACCTGCAGAAGATGAAGCCAGCTCAATCAGGGTATTCAAAAAGACGTCAATAATCCAACAATGAGCCAAGCAGAAAAATTAGACGGCATCAAAGCTGGACAAAAACAAGAAATTTTAAATCCCCCAATAACATGTTGATCCATCCATCTCTTCCTCTCCATTGAACACTCTATGTACCTCTACAAAGGGGAGGTCATATTAAGAATGGAATGAGCCGGTCTCAGTAAATGTAACTGGTATGGGGTTTTGCGTCAGCAGCTCCCTGGGAGGGGCTATGTTTGGCTCAGGAATTGCTGTGTGATATCTTAGATGCTTTGAGTGCTAAAGCCATGGCAGATGCCTCCCTGCCAGGTGTCAAAGGGGCCCCGGAGACACTCAGTTTCCAGAAAGGGCTGCTCAGAAAATGAATGGAAAGAAACTTGAGCAATGACTTCTCTTTCACCTTGAGAGGTTCGAACAGAGACGTCATGTTATTTAAGATTTCACGTTGATGGAACTTCCCTGAAATTCCAAGGGCTCATATTCTGCAGGAATGAAGCCAGGAGTCGGGAAAGCCAAGAGCACATTAAGAGGTCAAAAAAATTAAGAGGTCAAAAAAAAAAATATGGGGAAATGATGATGGAAAAAATAAATAAAAATGATTTTTATTGAACAAGATCATGTATCCTCTTATGTAGAAATAAACTGGTAAATGGTATCACTCTACTATTGGAAAAGAATAGTATGTGAAAGACTTTTAACCCTGTCTCGGTTGAAACTAGAGCTAGTGCCAGTGTTCTGACCAATTCACCTTCTCCTAACAAAACTAGGCTAAATGGCAATCAAAATTAGCCCAATGCGATTTTCTTCATCGGTGGGTTGGTCGGAGCACCGAATTTGTACGTTCAGGGAGTTTGGAGCGGAAACCCACAGAAAAAAAAAAAACGAAAACAGTAAAGCTTACTCATCCACAGTTAAGATAGTTACTGATCAATTTTAACCAAGAGGTTGAATTACGAAGCCCCCCCCCCCTCCACCCTATCAAATGCACTTGACCTAGTTATAGTGTAGTAGCCCCCTGTGCATTTCAAATCAGTGTTCCTTTTTTATATTTCTTACATGCCACTCTTGCCAGACTAAAATGTCTCTTCCCAGAATAGCATTAGAGCACTCAGAGTCACTGTTTCAAAGTCGCAGGCATCATTTGACCCAATAACTCATAACTTGCAAAATTGTTGTTTAAACCAGGGCTGGGCGAGTCTCAGGAGAAAAAGACTTCTGATGTCTATTTTTCATAATGTACTGGCAGTGGACATCTGACCCTTGACAGTGCTGTGAACAACGGGATCAAAGTGAGACCAGGGTGTGCATCACCTGTTCTTGGACACTAATAGTTGACAAAGTAGAAATGTAGATGGCAGTCACTCCATGTTGTCTAAGACAAAATAGATACTGTGTGACAATGCAGGACGAATGTGTTCAAGGACAACTCAAGTAATTAAATTGCAATCAATCGACACCTGCTTTATAAAAATGATTTGTGTAATGCACCCTTGTGTAGGAACCAGGAAACATTGTTATGGCAAACTAACATAGAACTAGAAGGGAAAGCATAGACTTAAGGCCATTGCACACTGAGTACGAAATTTTCGTATGCGTTTTTTCGTGTTCGTCAGCCTAAAAATTCGTCACGCACAGAAACCTTGCACACTGAGTCCGATGCGTATTTATTAAACCTTTCCGGGAAAAAACGCAAAAATACAAAATGGATTCGTCAAGCAGTGAGAATGATTTTGTTGTCCTCTATCTTATTGAAAAGAGAAGAGAAAATATTACGTCCATCCAATCCTGTAATTGCGCCGAGAGCTTGTGAATTTATCCCGAGCGATTCAAAATTTACCTCAGAATGTCAGTGGAACAGTTTGATGCTTTGCTTGCGATTCTGGAGCCACATTTTAAAAACAAGACCACCAATTTCCGTGAACCAATCGATCCTGAACAGAGACTGGCAGTGTGTCTAAGGTATGGACAGGACACACACACACACGCGGCCTGGTGGAAGCGCTGGGCAGACAGAACAGCTGTATAGGCTGTTATATATTGTGCCCAAATATTTTATTATCGAATTGGCTGCTCAATCACACCTTATTCGATCCGAAATTTCAATCTGATTGAAAGGGGAGGTTTATTCCTTTCATAATCCAATCGAGAGAAGAGAACATACTTGATCGAATTGAAAACCGAAACTGAAAGCACTGTGCATATGTGCAATAATGTGCGGAACGAGCTCCATAGACAGTAAACGAGCTCCCCCCGGCCCTGAATTGTCAAAAAACCTCTCAAAATGCTGGCTGGTGATGCGAAAAACGCAGAAAATCGAACCCAATCCGAATTTTTTTATGACGGACGAAAGTTTCGGAGGCGGTGTGCAAGCAAGATTGACATAACGTGAGGTCGATTTTTTTTAACGTCCGAAAAATTCGGATGCGAATTTCAGACTTAGTAATGTGCAATGCCCTTTACACCATCTTTAAATGAGAGACTGTCACAAAACATTATCACCTTCTCATTGAATTATACGAAAGACAAACATGGCAAAAGTCATCCACAGTTTTCAAAAATATTTATTGACATGCATGATTTAGCAAGGGTTACAGAAATTAAATCTAAATGTTGGTGCTGTCAGAATACGCAATGTGTGACAGTCCAGTGTGAGTTTGATTGAACGCAAATTTTGATATGTGCAGCCCATCAGCATATCCAAGAAAAACACATCAGCTTTCTTAACCAGAGTATAAATTTGGACAGTCGGAGTCAGAGTAACACAAAACAGCAGAGGCCAGTACCATTTCAAGACATCAAAACACTGAGACTGATGAGTAAACAGGAGCTAGCACAAGAACTCTCTTGAGTTTACATTACTAGCAGTTTACAATGAAACTTGATAGATAGGAGGTAATACAGCCATACTGAGAATGAAGCCAAGTCTTACTGTGCTGTGCTGCGGTGAGCAAGTGACAAACACGGCTGCGCTGCTAGTTATGGCAGCATGGAAAATAAAAGCTGCACAGCTGCCCAAGATGACATAAACTGCATTCAGGCCATTCATTTACTGATATGAAAGCTAAATAACACATGTTGTGCAGTAATGAATACGCGGCTACAGAGATTGAGGCATACTGTGTCACCTCTTGGACAAGGTGAGACAAATGTTTTGTAGCTTGAACTAGGGTTGAAATTCCCACACAGGTCCAAGCACGAATTGTTCTTTTGGCAAGATTAAATGTTTAAGTTGGGTAAAAGGATACACACAAGAGGGCTATTGCTACAGGACGATGGAAGCACATGAAGACCCTGTGCTAGATTTTTTTTTTTCCATCATACAACGTTAATGTAAATTTTTTTTTTTTTTGAAAACCTGATTAAGATGACCGTTTGACCATTAACATTAGCCTATGCTCTAATTTGATACTGTACGCAATAAAACGCCAATTACAGTATATTTACAATGAAAGCTTCCAAGGCAGGTGTATTCCTGAAATACAGATTAAAAAATATTGAACCAATATTTAATCTCAGTTTTTAACGGACAATTTAAAGAAGTATTACATAAAATGTCTTTTTTGGTGTGTTTACTGTTATTTTTGGTCATTTATTGTCACTGGAAGCAAAATTTGGCCAATTTTAAATGGCCCTCCAATGTGTGGTCATCAATTAGCTGATTGTGGTACATCTTAGTTGTAGAATGGGCATGTTTGGCTAGAAACTTTAGCGTTCCTACGCCATATAATGACGTTCTTTCTTCTGTGAAATACAAAATACATTCAGCTGCTTTGTCCAAACAATGAAAATCAATGGGGTCCAAAGGTTTCTAGCACCCAAAAGGTAGACCTACATAAAAGTAGTGGAAAAAGTAATGATACAACTCCAGTGGTTTAATCTTAGTCTTCTGAGGAGATACAATCACTTTGTATGATGAAAACAGGTACATTTAATGGGCATTGTTGGCTCTTATGACAAATTGCTTGTGAACTTCCTTTGTGTTCAACAGAAGAAAGAAATTCATACAGGTTTGGAACAACCTGGGGGTGAGTAAATTATCCCTTTAAATACTGTATCTTCTTTATGTCCCACAGGAGGAAAAAAAAAAACAATTTTAAAACAGAATGAAGGTGGGTAAATGTACTGTATGTATATGGATACATACAAGATCAGTTTTATGTTGTTTATAATACTTGATTTTTGAATTACAGAGAGTTCCAAAGAGAGCGAGAGATGGACACATGAGATGGAGTGTGAGTTAGTTCAGTGTGACGTCGCAGCACCCATTCACAGCAGGGGATCCTTGAGCAGCCCCCTCCATCCAGACAGAACACTTTGTCCCAGGACATTTGAGGGAGGTTTGCAACCCCTTGGCCCTCAGTCCCAGTATCAGTTTGCCTGCCAAACACTCAACTTTCCAGTGACAGAACCAAGACATGACACGTGCCCAAAGGATAGCTAACATACGAGCTGTGCTCAGGGCTAGTGTAGTAGTCTGAAGCTCATGTGGATACAGTACACATACAATCTCAATGCTTTTCTAGTAGAGGAATGGAATTAAATATCAAATAAGGGGAGAAGAACTGTCTTCGCATGTCATTGCACAGTAGTCATTGTAGTTAAAAAGGTTGAGCTAATTGACTGTTAGTGCCTCAACACATTTGTGCTGTTAAGATTTGTAGTGGACATTTTTCAGCAGAAAAAATCTAAAATTTGGATAAAACCCCAAAGTTTTGATAAGTAGCTAATGTAAGGACCACTAATGGCTTATAACTGCATTGGACTACCAACAGTATATAATGATTCTGAATATTATATTTTATTAGTCGATTCAGTTATTGCTTCAACTGTCCAGTTTACAATAGTTTTATTTGAACCAAAGCTTAACTAAACAAATTAAAAATCTGAAACAGATGCTACCACAGATTAAAGTATTAATTCCATTACTGGGACAGCTACCGCCACCCAGGGGAATACAAACAAGATCAAGTAAAATTTTACTATGGTGTTTAATCTATATTAAAGGGGTCCTATTATGCTTTTTTACACGTTCAACTTTATTTAGTGTGTAATGTTACTGTTTGAGAATCAAAAAGGTCTGCAAAATTACAAAGCCCCTCCAGCAGAAATTCATCTCTATATCAGTAACACATTATTCCTAATTTAAATAATTTCACACCCAAAGTATGAGCAAAATAAAGGGGTGGGGTCTGGTTGATTTAATGACTTTGTTAAAAACTGGTGGTTATGGTAACATGCT